AATACCTATCTTTTCCTCCAGAAAACTAACATGCCAAAAAGAAAGCCACTACTTTTATTATCGAATAGAAAAGAATAGTAATTTCTGAAGCTTACGGTGTCTTTTCTAAGAAGTATAGATGAGCTAAACCAGAAATGAACAAACTGGCCCTGTAGCTCATGATCACCTCTGACATCAGTTTTAGTACACCCACGTCTTCAACAAGGGCCCCATTCATTTGTCCCTTCTCAAGGAGGTGCCCAGAAATAACAGAATCAGACTATGTTTAAGTGGGAGGTAAAGAAGAATCATTACCTACTTTGTCCTGAATTCTACACTATTAATGCTTAAGATCAAATCTCTCCCTTAATTATGCTGGGCTATTGGTCAACTAATTTCCTAGGTCCAGTTTCCTTACCTATTAAGTGCACAGTATATCCAGTTCAAAACAGTATCTTGGCAAAATTAAAAATAGCTAAGATGCTGTCTCACTTTGAATAATTATTTTCAGAGTTACATAACGGAAAAGAAAATGTTAAATGTTTGAATGCACTTCTTTTCACAACTTCACTAGGTCTGGTCCACACCCACATGAGTTTCACTTCTACCATCCGGGAGCATCACACACTGTGTCACAACATAATTTGTTCTGTTCACAAATGTGACATCTGTGTGTACCATTCTAATGCTTAGATTATTCATAATTTATTGCAATAATGTAACATAAAATTAAAAATGGCAAATTTTAAAACTAATATCATATACTAGTACATGTGTTTTAAAAATATACTGTCTTGTGTACAATACTTTTTCTTTATCCAAAATGCAGTTTCTTGAGTTCACACTAAGTTGTATTCCATAATTTAAAATCCTAAAAGCCCTAACAGATTCATTTTTATTATCTAAAATATAGTAGGCTTTCTTTGTTTTCTTCATTTGAAACATAGATAAAAAATATTATGTAATATTGGGTCAAGAAACCCAAAGAAAAGATCTTGGGGCCAGCACTGTGGTACAGCAGTCAAGCAACTGCTTGTAATGCTGAACAAGGTGGTGACACCTGTCAGTGTATGTGAGGGCCAGGTTTTGGGGGTGGGCATGCTGAGCTAAGCTGCAGCACCCATAGGTGTGCATAAGAGCCAGATATGATGTGGGTTTGGCTGGACTAGGCCATAACAGAGGCTGGCATGTGCAAAAAATCAGGGCTGAGGCAGGCCTAGAGGGTGGTTGGGGTTATCCCCAACCAGGCCACGGTACCTTCTGGTATGCCTAAGATCGGATCTGTGGTGGGCTGGCTTGGTTGGGCTGCAGCACCCATCAGTTCCTGTGATATAGGGCTAAGGCAGAACTGCCCATGCAGTAGCATCCACCGATATGTGTGTTGGCTGGTGCAGGGGAAAGAATAAATCTGAACCTGCACTGCACTGGCTAGTACACAGAAGAGTCAAGTTTGAGGTTACTTGAGGTTTCTTTGGGGACTCCCCAGACAGAGCACTGGACTCAGATCCCGACCACAGGGGAAAACACATTATACGTGCTCTGACCTTGGAGTGCATGTATCAGAATTGGGCCTCAGTTATAGTGGACAGCATGCCCAGACGCACATGGGAAACATGATGGCCAGACCATTTAGGCCAACAGGGGATGTCAAGTGCTTTGTCAGAGAATGGAAAGCAGAACAGGTTGGACAATTCTCCTGGCCTATCTTTGCAGCAAGGGATCTGGATGTGTGGATGCATTAAGGTGGACTTTGTCAACCAATATACCTTGCAAAGATTATCTTAACCATGGAATTATAAAATTGACAACTTCTTAATACTATCAACATCACTCAAGTAACTTCCCTGAAACACTTCCCCACATCAGGGTCTCTAAGGCAGCATCAAATGACTATCCCCATCCGCAGATGCTGACGCAGTTCGACAGCAAGGAGTAGCCATCTCCCTTTCCTCCCCTCTGCCATGTAGACACATGAGAAAATAACTGAAACATTCCCACCCGCCTTCCTCCTTACCTAAGCCTCCCCACCTAACTGGAAGCCCACACAGGCATGCATGCCTCTCAACTATGTAAACAACATTAAAAAGATTTTTTTTTAATTTAAAAGGCTTTAAAAATTATAGAGATATTATTAGTGGTTTTCATTTTATAAAAGTGTTATTGTAAACATGCAACGGGTTTGCTACTTTTATAAAAAGGATTTGTTTGTTTGTATATGAAAGGCAGAGCTACAGAGGGAGAAGAGAGAGATCTTACACCCTCTGGGACACGCCCCAGAGAGCCGTAATGGCCAGAGCTGGGATGGTCCGGGGCCAGGAGCTTCTTCTGGTTCTCCCATGTGGGTGCAAGGGCCCAAGCACTTGGGCCATCATTTGCTACTTTCCCAGGCATATTGGCAGAGAGCTAGATAGGAAGTGAAGCAACTCAGACTTCAAACAGCTTACCTATATGGTACACTAATACAGTAGGAGGTGGCTTTCCTATTGCACCACAGCACCGGCCTCATTCAATGTCATTTTTAATTTGATCAACATGATCAATTAGGGGATTTCATTTTTATTTGCAAGTCAGGGAGACAGGGTGAGACAAGAGATTTTCCCATTGCTAGTTCACTCTCTGAAATCCTGTAACAGCCAGGCCAAAGCCAACATGCTGGAACTCAATCTGGATCTCCGACACAAGAGAAAGAGACCCAAGCATGACCTGCTGCCCCAGAGGATTCACACTTTGCAAAGCTGGAAGCAGCAGCAGAAGTGCTGCAACTTGAACCAGGCACTGCAACTAGTAACAGAGTGAGCAATTCAAGCGAAACATTAACCACCGGACCAAAAGTCTGCTCTCCAAATTAACACGTTTTAAATGAAATTTGTTTCAGTTTTTAATAAAATAAATAATGGTATCTATAGTCTATGTGAATAAAAATTATTTAAAACCCTTGTTATGGTCTCTTTCAAAATTCATAAGAATATCTTAGCCCCAATGTGAGTATATTTGTAGAGAGAAGAAACTAGATTAAATAAGAGTGGAAGGGGTGGGGATCCCTCTAGTAAGAGGATTAGTGTCCTTAAATAAGGAAAAGGGGTGGCATGTCAGCTTTGCAGCTGAGACACTAACTGGGATGTCCATACACCATATCTAAATGCCTGGGTTCAAATCCTGCACTACTCCCACATACAGCTCCCTGCTAACGCATAACCTGAGAAACAGCAAGATGCTGCTCCCTGGATTTCTTTACTTTTAAAAATTTTTAAAAATATATTTAATTATTTTTATTGGAAAAGCAGATTTACAGACAGAAGGAGAGACAGAAATATCTTCCATCTGATGGCTGACTCCCCAGATGGCCAAAATGGTCAGAGCTGAGCCGATCCAAAGCCAGAAGCTAGGAGCTTCTTCTATGTTTCCCATGTCATATAGGATCCCAAAGCTTTGGGTCATCTTCCACTGCCTTACCAGGCCACAAGCAGGAAGCTGGATGGGAAGTGGTTTATCCGGGATACAAACTGACACCCATATGCAATGCCAGCACTTCCAGGTGGAGGATTTGTCAACTGAGCCATTGCACCAGCTCCAAGCCTTTGGATTTCTACCACCCATGAAGGGGACCTGAGTTGAGTTCCTGGTTCTTAGCTGTGGCCCGGCCCAGGCCTAGCTATTGCCGCCATTTGGGGAGTGAAGCAAGATGGGATCCTGTATGTGTTCTCTCTCTCTCACACAAATAATAATTTTTTCAAAGAAGAATCAAAGACACCAGAGACTTCTTCTCTCGCTTTAAGCACTGACAGAAGACAATGTAAGAACACAGTAAGAACTGTCCATCTATAGCCAGGAAGATGCACAATGAACCCAACAATCTTGCTCATACCTTGATCTTGGACCTCAGACCTCCAGAACTAAGAGAAAACTAAGATTTTTAGGTTATCTGGCCTGAGCTAACGCAGTCCTCAATAATTTTTAAAAGCTAATAAGAATCATACAATAATGATTTAGTTTTATAACTTAAGATGCTTTTGCAATTACAACTTAAAGAAATAATAATTTTTTGATGTATATAATTATATAACACTTGAAAGCATATATAACAAGTGAAACAAATCATGGAAAGAACGCACACGGCCTACAGAGGCAACACTTTTCATTTTAAGGAAATCAGGCTGGAGATGTACCTGATGAGTGAACACTAATTTCTAGAGTACTTTTTCAGTCTATCCTTTAAGAACAAGGGCAAGCACTAAAGAGCCAACTTCACTTTTACTTCATGAGAGAAAACTAATGAATTTCAAGATAACACAAATTAATAACTGATAAATATATTAACTGAAATTATTTTTAACCACAAAAATCTGTCAAGAATATAGGGAATGTTTAGTGAAAAGTAAGAAACCCTATTTCAGGAACTGTAATACAGCAAAAATGGCAACAAAACTGCAGAAGCCAACTAAGTATAAACATTTTATAGCTATGGGTCTTTAAGAAATCACTAGGTTGCAAAAGCCTAAACAAGTGGAAAATGCATTTGCCTCAACAAATTTCTGAATTTCATGGAAACAAGTATGTCATTGGATTGTCTTTAATAGCAAATTAATTGTACATTCAAGTATAATACACTTATGGATAACAATATTCTAAAAATCGAGTTAAATGATTTATTTCCAAGACTCTAAATCCTAGGTACAGCATTCAAAAAATTGATAAAATTTAATGAATTTCATTTCACAACTTTGTATGGGGAAAAAATACTAATTCAGCTTCAGCTAGCTTCTTTCTTGGTTCAATATTTGTCTGAAAAAAAATAATTATTCAGTCTGCTTGGGAAAGTACAATCAATCCATGCGCATGCAAGAATCAAGTTAATCTTATAAGGATTTCTCCATGTTCCAGTTACTTCATTCCTTATTACATGCTGCAGAAAGCAGTAATAATTTTTAAGGCCAAATATCACTCCACAAGATACCAGGTGGCTTTCAATATTTACCATATAAGTCATGCATGAAATTTAAACATTACAAAAAATGACTTACCAGTTGACACTCCTGAAATATGCACATTTTCAGAATGTTCTGCAACAGTACCACTTCCTAAAATTAAACATAATGAATAAAATAATTTCTAAGATAAAATTTATGAAACTTTTTAGATTATTTTAAAAGAAAAATAATTATACAGAACTGTTTCTAATATTTAGAAATTACATTTAGGTTTCTTATAACAATCTTAATACAATACTAAGCTCAAAACCTAATAGTAGAGAAAATAAAACACTTTAGAAATAACATGCAGTATAATACATGAAGGTTAAACATATAGATCTGATTAACATCAGAAAGAATTTCTACCAACTAATAATCAAGAGGGAACGCAGGAATAACTAGAATAGAGATAATCATTTTTTTTTTTAAAAAAAACAGCAGGGTCACGTATCTTAATACTTTAAAAAAAAATGACTCTAAATATTCCAACTTCTTCTTACCAACAGCTAATAATTCTAAAAGCAGAAACAGAATTACATTCTAATTTCTCTAACCCATTCCACAGAGTTGGGGACCCAAATATATTCTAGTAACTTACAACAAACATCACCTAGTAAAATAAAACCAGGATTTTCAAAGACTCATATTTAAAGAACTGAAGATATTCCTTTCAAATTAATATGAAGTGTCCATCCAGGTACTGAATTTTTAAAACCAAGTTTTAAAATTTTGTTATAATTGACTTCCCTGTACTTGTTCTTTCTTGCGCAAACTGTTTGCTACTACTTCTAAAGTTTGACATAGCTCAACCCATTAGCTGCATCTACCATTAACTGCTCAGGACCCCAGCAGATGTAAAATTCTCCTTGGAGTGGGATGAGATGAGGTATGAAGCTGGCTTAAAACGCAAAAGCAGAATTCTTTTTTATGGTTGAGAAAGAAAAACAGTAAGTATTTTAACTAACTTTTCTTTGACAACGATGACACTTGTATGACTGCTGGATTACTATACAGCATCCCTCACTGTACTACGTGGGAGAACAACATTTGTGCTCGTTGGTTCACCATGGATGCACAGAGCCAGTACGCCAAGAGCTGGCAGGTGAGTAAATGAAGGATGTCAGGACAGGTAAAATGCAACCAGCTCCATCTGATACACAGCACTGAAGAAATAATGATTTTTACAATGGTACAAGATATATTATTACTAAACAATAAAATAATCACAGAACACTTTTAGTTCCATTATAATTATATCGTTCAATATCAAATGTTAGGTTTCCTTCAAGAATAACAGCAGAAATGGTGAAACAGGTGTGTATGACACAACAAGTATAAAAATAAACCAGCTCCCATAGAATAAGCATTGTGTATTAATATTAGATATGGCATAATTTCTTTTTCACAGTAACGTTAAATGTTATTTATTTGAACAACTAGAGAGATGTTATACATTTCATTATCATATTACGACTTACCAAATAGGAAGCAGAAACAAAGAAATGGATTCAACAAAACATCTAATAAAACTTGCCAAAAGTCAGTATAAATGGCTTAATTCATGATACTCTTGAGTAAGTCAGCAGGAACAGCATCCCTGAGAGCTTATGAGAAATGCAGAGTCTCAGTGTCACACTTCTGATTACTGAATGGGAATTTGCATTTCATTTTATTTTAAAGATTTATATATTTTTATGGGAAAGGCAGGTTTACAGTGAGGAAAGACAGAAAGATCTTCCAAAAGCCTTTGCCAACCTCATGATTAACTGAGGAAGACATCGAGGAAACAGGGGATAAAAAGCTTACAAAACTTGTTATGAAGCTTCTTATCAACAAGAAGCACTTGCAGGAATTTAAGCGATAGGTCACACTGGAAATAGCAACACTGAAACAAAATCAACCAGAATTACTAGAAATGAGGGATACAATGGAGCAAATTAAAAATTCAGTGGAAAGTTTCAATAAGAGTAAGGAAGCAGGAAGAAGAAAGAATCTCAGATTTGGAAGATATTTCTTGCCAAAGTGGTGAAAGAATCAAAAAGCTAAAAGAGGAACGTAAGAAAAATATTCAAAGAATTAAGGGACACTATTAAGAGGCCAAATATAGGAGTTGTGGGAGTCCCAGAAGGTGCAGTAAGAGAAGCTGGGTTTAAAAATGTCTTTAATGCAATAATGAACCAAAACTTCCCTAATCTGGAGAAAGAACTGGGAAACAAGATCCAGGAGGGGCACAGAACTCCCAACAGGGTTGACCAAAAGCAATCTTCACCACAACACATGATAATCAAGCTCTCTTCAGTTGAACAAAAGGAAAAGATCTTTAAATGTGCATGTGAAAAAAATCAACCGACATATAGAAGAACCCAATCAGACTCACAGCTAACCTCTCACAGGATACTCTGTTCAACTGGAACATTCCAACACTGATAGAGTGACTATAAAACAGTGCAATTACTTTAGAAAAAAAGAGACTGTTTTCAAGATGAACACATACTTGCTTGACCTAACAACTGCACACCTTTGTAATGGAAAAGGAAATATAAAAAGAGGGAATTCCAGAAACCTATAGAACAAAATAGACAAACAAAATAATTCATTCTGTATCATTCTGCTTCTTTTCCACTTGAATTTCATCTTCTCCTTTATTACAACATTGTTCTTCTATCCTCTCTATAAAATAATGACAATAATAATAAACCCTTTATACCCTGTATCTTCATTTATCAAATTTTCCAAGAAACATCAGGGTCCAATCAAATTTTAACTCAGCCACAACCCTTCGGTAGATCATGCTAGCCTGAAAGAACTCTAGAAATCCAAATGGTCAGCAGTTTGCATCATTTTGTGAACTGAAAGCATAGGCCAACAACAACTGACATCAGAAGAGAGAGACAGAGAGGCCAACTATGAATGAATCATGTGGCTGCTAATGGAAGAGCACACCCAGAGAAGGAAAATGAAATCTGATCAAGCCTTTACATAAAGTAGCACGGTCCAGAACAATTTTCTAGAATGACAGCAACATTCTATAATGACACTGTCCGTTAGAGTAGCCATTACTATGGCTCTTGATCAGTTAAAGAGGCTAGTATACCTTTGCAACAATTTTATGTTCTAACTCTCTAAACTTAGAATAGCTTATACAGTTAGTGGCACTATTGAACAGTGTTAATTCTGACTCCAATCATCAATTTACAGGAAAGACAGAGAGACACTTTAAGTCATACTATGGAAATGTACTCAGCAAATTCCATTCTGAAAAACTCCACTAGAAAGGCAAGCTTGATGCAGCAGTGATCATTTTGCCTCAGTTACACATCAGGTCATTTTCTCATTTCTCAAAACTAGCACTGAGTACTGGGTCTCTTGGATCTCTGTTATGAAAGATGAAGTGAAATTCTTGGAGGGGAGCACAGCAGTCACTAATCTAAGACTGATGTCCTCATAAGAGGAGGAGACAACAGAGAGATCTCTCCCTACAATTGTAGAAGTTGTCACGTGAAGAACTTAAGTGAGGGGGACACTACAGGCTGGAAGAGATACCTAAGTCTTGGACTCCATGCCTTCGGATTAGACAGAAAATAAACTGTTACCAAGTCACCCAGCACATGGTATGTTATTGAGGCAGTTCAAACATGCCTTTCCCAGGTCTGGCTGTACCAGGATGTTTGTGACCCCTCTGAAAACCTATGAAGAATTCAGTACACCTTCCTGGGGAAAAGCACTAATATCTAATAAAAACCTATAAGTTATTCCAAGCCAAAGGAGCCAAGAAATCCCTGGAAAATAAGACTATGCTTTCCTGACTTATTTGATTATTGGCACAGTAGTATTTCTATTGCTTCTGAATTGCAGCTATCCATTGAGGAGCCATATGAACTGGCCTGAATCTAACTGTGACTTAATAGAAATCATTACTTTTAATAGAAAGACACATTCTAATTTTTAAACCATATCCTCAACAAACATCTGGAAGTTCAATACTTCTATATATTTACATGTCATGTAGCACTGCATTAGCAAGATTCTATGTCTGAACTGTGTTGGAAGTAAGAATATGGTGACAAACACTAAATCAGTAACACAAGCTCTTAGCATTCAAAGGATAAATCATATTCCTTAAAGAATATGAGAAAATTTTTATGAATCCTGCTAGTGTTTATGCATATGTAAATTTTTTTATTCTAAAATTAGCTTGGACCACTGAGAGATCTCATGACATAAACTAGAAAAGGCATTTTTAAGACTATCTGAGCTCAATGTTTCATTCACATGATTCCTGTGGTTCACAGAATAAATAAGCAGGCTTGAAGACGTTACAAATTCTGGAATAGAAGAAAAGCAGGCATTGGGAGTGGTGCTTATGATTCCTGAGCCTCACTTGGGAGTGCCTGGGATTTGAATGTTGGCTCTAGCATTTTTCCCAGTGGTTAGGATGTCTGTGCCTCACTTCGGAGCGTCCAGGGTTTGAACGCTAGCTCCAGCTCCTTCCTGACTTCAGTGTTCTGCCAACGCAGATCCCAGGAGGCAGTATGGATGGATGGCTCAAGGGACACTTTGACTGCACTCCTGACTCCTAGTTTGGTCTTGGCTCTTTACAAGCTTTTGGAGAGTATATGCAGAATGAATGATTGGGGGAAGGAAGGTTAGAGGGCAAAATCTCACATATAAATAAGCTACAGAAATTATATTATAAATCAATTTTCCTTTCATTAATTGATATATATTTCATACATGATAAATCTCAGAATTTAAAAATACACAGTCTGAAGGCCCAGCGCAATAGCCTAGTGGCTAAAGTCCCCGTCTTGCATGTGCCGGGATCCCATATGGGTGCTAGTTCTAATCCTGTCAGTCCCTACTCCCATCCAGCTCCCTGCCTGTGGCCTGGGAAAACAGTCGAGATGTCCCAAAGCTTTAGGACTCTGTACCTGTGTGAGACCTGGACACAGCTCCAGGTTCCTGCTTTCAGATTGGCTCAGCTTGGCCATTGGGGACACTTGGGGAGTGAATCAATGGACGGATGATCTTCCTCTCTGTCTCTTCTCCTCTGTGTATATCTGACTTTCCAATAAAAATAAAAAAAATAAACCTTTATACAGTC